CAGAACAGGGGATGAGAGGAGTTGCAAAGATAATCCCACCAGCTCTCTGCGCGTAGGTGGTTAAGCGCGTTTCCTCCCTCCACCCTTCCCTCTACCCCTTCGGGGAGGGCACCTCTGCCCCTAACCATCTCCCCTGGACCTAAATGGGGTCCCCGCGAGCGGTCAGATCGTGTCTTGGGGGCTTCTTGGGTTCTTATGGGGGCATCTTCGGGCGGAGAGCTCGATTTTTCGGTTCGCGTTCCCTCTCTTGGGCCCCTCTGAGGCCTTCTTGGGGCACTCTTGGGCCGTATTGGGCGGATCCGGGGCGGTCTTGGGGCTCTCTTGGGCCGTCTTGGGGCTCTCTTGGGGGCATCTTGGGCCGTCTTGGAGCAGTCTTGGGAGCCTCTCGGGCGGTCTTGGAGCCTCAGAACGAGAAACCAAAAAGCAGAGAATTAGCCTGGCGAAGGACCCAACCATATGCAGGTAGTACTGGTAGTACTAGTGGTAGTAGTGGTAGTAGCGCGGTGGGCGCATGGGAGCGCAGCCACGGGGGCCTTCTGGTCCTAGTACTAAAATAGTAAGAAATGGAAAAACAGTAGCGGGTGTGCCGAATTTGTGCGGTTGGGCGCATGGGAGCGCAGCCACTGGGGCCCTCGCTGGAGCCCCCTATGGAAGCCACGAAACGTGTGATGGGTGTGCCCGGTGGGCGCATGAGGCGCAGCCATGGGCCTTCGATGGCGCTCCCTATGGGGCCACGAAGCGTGTGAGGGGTGTGCCGAAATCTGTGCGGTGGGCGCATGGGAGCGCAGCCACTGGGGCCTTCGCTGGAGCTCCCTATGGGGCCACGAAACGTGTGAGGGGTGTGCCGAAATTGGTGCGGTGGGCGCATGGGAGCGCAGCCACTGGGGCCTTCGCTGGAGCTCCCCATGGACCACGAAACGTGTGATGGGTGTGCCGAAATGGGTGCGGTGGGCGCATGGGAGCGCAGCCACTGGGGCCTTCGCTGGAGCTCCCTATGGGGCCACGAAACGTGTGAGGGGTGTGCCGAAATGGGTGCGGTGGGCGCATCGGAGCGCAGCCACTGGGGCCTTCGTGGAGCTCCCCATGGGCCACGAACGTGTGATGGGTGTGCCGAAATGTGCGGTGGGCGCATGGGAGCGCAGCCACTGGGGCCTTCGGTGGAGCTCCCCATGGGCCACGAAGCGTGTGAGGGGTGTGCAGAAATGGGTGCGGGGTGGGGCGCATGGGAGCGCAGGCCACTGGGGCCTTCGGTGGAGCTCCCTATGGGGCCACGAAACGTGTGAGGGATTGCCGAAATGCGGTGTGGGCGCATGGGCGGCACTGGGGCCTTCGCTGGAGCTGCCCAGCGCAGCATGGGGCCTGGGGTCGCCTGGAGCTCCCTATGGGGCCACGAACGTGTGAGGGGTGTGCCGAAATGGGTGCGGTGGCGCATGGGACGCAGCCACTGGGGCCTTCGCTGGAGCTCCCTATGGGGCCACGAAACGTGTGAGGGGTGTGCCGAAATGGGTGCGGTGGGCGCATGGGAGCGCAGCCACTGGGGCCTTCGTCGAGCCCCCTATGGGGCCACGCCCAACGTGGGGCCACGAAGCGTGTGAGGGGGTGTGCCGAAATTGGTGCGGTGCGCATGGGAGCGCAGCCACTGGGGCCTTCGTGGAGCTCCCTATGGGGCCACGAAACGTGTGAGGGGTGTGCCGAAGCGAGGCAGATGATGGTGATGATGATGATGGCAGGAGGGGGGGCAGCGGGAGGAGGAGGAGTGAACGCGGGGCGCTGTCTCTTCAAAACGAAGACCCAACACCACAGGATGGTTGGGAATGATAGGAGGGGAGAGGGGGCGGAGGAGGAGAGGAGGAGAGGAGACGCGGGGCACCGTCTCTTCAAAACGAGGACGAGGACCCAACACCACAGGATGGTTGGGAAACAACACATGAGTTATCCTGGCGAAGGACCCAACCAGATGCAGTTGCGAGTACCGCAATTGTGAGTATCTTCTTCGATGGCGCTCCCTATGGGGCCACGAACCGTATGAGGGGTGTGCCGAAATCTGTGCGGTGGGCGCATGGGAGCGCAGCCACTGGGGCCTTCGCTGGAGCTCCCTATGGGGCCCGAAACGTGTGAGGGGGTGTGCCGAAATGGGTGCGGTGGGGCATGGAACGCAGCCACTGGGGCCTTCGCTGGAGCTCCCTATGGGGCCACGAAACGTGTGAGGGGTGTGCCGAAATGGGTGTGGGGGCGCATGGGAGCGCAGCCACTGGGGCCTTCGCTGGAGCTCCCTATGGGGCCACGAAACGTGTGAGGGGTGTGCCGAAATCTGTGCGGTGGGCGCATGGGAGCGCAGCCACTGGAGCCTTCGCTGGAGCTCCCTATGGGGCCACGAAGCGTGTGAGGGGTGTGCCGAAATGGGTGCGGTGGGCGCATGGGGAGCGCAGCCACTGGGGCCTTCGGTGGAGCTCCCTATGGGGCCACGAAGCGTGTGAGGGGTGTGCCGAAAAGGGTGCGGTGGGCGCATGGGGAGCGCAGCCGCTGGGGCCTTCGGTGGAGCTCCCTATGGGGCCACGCAACGTGTGAGGGGTGTGCCGAAATGAGTGTGGTGGGCGCATGGGAGCGCAGCCACTGGGGCCTTCGGTGGAGCTCCCTATGGGGCCACGAAACGTGTGAGGGGTGTGCCGAAATGGGTGTGGTGGGCGCATGGGGCGCAGCCACTGGGGCCTTCGGTGGAGCTCCCTATGGGGCCACGAAACGTGTGAGGGGTGTGCCGAAATGGGGGGTGGGCGCATGGGGCGCAGCCACTGGGGCCTTCGCTGGAGCTCCCTATGGGGCCACGAAAGTGTGAGGGGGGGTGAAATGGGCGCGGTGGGCGCATGGGGGCGCAGCCACTGAGGCCTTCGGTGGAGCTCCCTATGGGGAAACGCACGTGTGCCACTGGGGCCTTCGCTGGAGCTCCCTATGGGGCGAAACGTATGAGGGGTGTGCCGAAATGGGTGCGGTGGGCGCATGGGAGCGCAGCCACTGGGGCCTTCGCTGGAGCTCCCTATGGGGCCACGAAACGTGTGAGGGGTGTGCCGAAATGGGTGCGGTGGGCGCATGGGAGCGCAGCCACTGGGGCCTTCGGTGGAGCTCCCTATGGGGCCACGAAACGTGTGAGGGGTGTGCCGAAATCTGTGCGGTGGGCGCATGGGAGCGCAGCCACTGGGGCCTTCGCTGGAGCCCCCTATGATCGTCATGATGGTGATGATGATGATGATGATGATGATGATGATGATGATGATGATGATGATGATGATGATGATGATGATGATGGTGAGGATGATAGGAGGGGAGAGGAGGCGGAGGAGGAGAGGAGGAGAGGAGACGCGGGCCACCGTCTCTTCAAAACGAGGACCCAACACCACAGGATGGTTGGGAACAATCAACGATTTCTGCCTCTGGGGGCCGTCTTGGGAGGCCTCTTGGAGGCCTCTGGGGATTCTTGGGGGCGTCTTGGGTAGTCTGGAAGCCATCATGGGCGTCTCGGACAGATCTTTTGGCGACTCTGGGCCCTCTTGGACCGTCTTGGAACATTCTTGGGCCGTCTCGTGGGCCTCTTGGGCCGTCTTGGAGCCCCCGGGGGGGGTAACGCGGGCGTGGCCCGGATGTCCCGAGGGTGGGCTGGAGCGTCGGGGCCGGGGACCTGGTATTCATCCATATTATATAAGTATCTACGTATGTGTGCGTGTGTGAGTGCATATGAATATGTATACTCGTGGGCGTGAAATCTGGACGTCGACGCTGCGCGCATCGACGAGGGCGGGGAACGCACGGGGTGGAGCCCCCGCGGGGCCCCGCGCGCCGCCGCCAAGCTGGAACAAGGGGCTTAGACGACGACGACGACGACGACGACGACGACAAATCACAATAAACCAACGCCAGCGCCGACAATATCAATTGCCCCGGGAGGAAAACAGGGCGCAACCGCGGAGGCGCGCCGTATCTGGTGCACGGGGCCCGGAGCCCTTGAGCAAAACGACCATGCGCGAAGAAAACCTATGTTGGCACGTCAACCACGCATAGACCAGATTGCGCGAAGCAAACCACCCGGCACATGCTGAAGCGAACTTCCGCGAAGAAAGCGCCTGACACACGCGCGTACTGTGCTAGCGAAAGCATGGCAAATGCCAGGTGGTGCCCCCCCGTCACCCGCGCCGGCCTGCCGCGGCCGCAGTTCGGCGGCCTCAAGTATGGCTGCGTCCAAGCGCCGTGCCAAACCATCGCGCTGACATGCAAGCCCCGAACATTTGGAGTCGTGGTGGGCCAAGCGTGGATCATGCATCGTCTCGCATGGATTCACAGGGCGTTTTCAATTCTTGGCAACCCAAGCGTAAATCGGATGAATGGTAAACTATGAAAACATACAGATGCAGACACAATTGTATACATATATATATGTGTGTGAGATTTTATGTACATGAAAAGTGTGTATGCGTATGTATGTGAATGTATGTGTGTATGTATATATATATATATATATATATATATATATATATATATATATATATCGGATCGGATCGGACCCCTCGGAGGCAGCAGTTCGACGGTAACAGACGCATAGTGCCTCTAGGATCGGGCTACACCCGAGTATAAACCGCGTTGTCACACACTGACGTAAATCGATGCGCAGGTCTTAACGCCTGCTCGATTCTACAAGTCTCATAATGGCATCCATCGTCCTCGAGTCACATCCTGGGCTTTGCCTGGCAGCAGAGGCAGGAAAGGGCGAGCGTCTGGGCGGGCGCGGTTGGCGCTGAGACGGAGGCACGGGCACAGAGGGCCTGCGAGGCCTTTTAGCAGGGGGAGTAGGAGGAAGAGGACCCAGAGGCTCACGAGGCGAGGAGGGGTGATGAAGCCCAGAGGCCCCTGAAGGCTCAGGGGCGCTAGTCAGGCGAGGCTCAGGGGCCTCAGAGGTACTCTGTTCGGCCTGGGCAAAAGTGCGGGCGTGGGCTAACAGCGAAGCTGTCCACATCTCAGTGCGCGATCGAGTCGATGCCCACGACGAAGCACGCCCGCTCGCACTCGCTGGGGCTCCCGTCGACAGCGCAGTAGCGGGCGTACTCGTCGAAGCACGCGTGGAAGAGGAAGTAGCTCTCGTCTGAGCTACCGTCGGTAGTGCAGTAGCTGGTGTGCACGATGGGGCACACGTAGTAAGAGAAGTGTGCTGGCCCTCGATGACTGGTGACTCTGCGATCGTCGATGCAGTCGCTGGGCTCCCCTCGCCTTGCGACGAACTTCCACGTGGCGGTCGATGCCCTCTGCCTCCTCGGGGCTGCGGCGTGAGCATCAGGCGCGAGGCGTGCTCGCAGGCGGTCAGAGGAGGTGGGCAGTGCGTATCGCCAGTGGCAATCTGTGAATTTATTTCGCCACTCGTTTCCACTTCAGCTGTGCTGTGGTCCGCTTTCGTAGTATCTGCTGCACTCCCATCGGCAGCAACTGTGGTATTCGTATGAATACAAGAGCTCCATTTCGCACAGCTGTGTCGTACCCAGTGAAATCAGAAAAAAAAACTACCCCATCATCGTGTCCTCGAGCTGCGTCAGCTTCGTGTGTAGGATCCGCTCCATGTGCACCATCGGTCCCTGGCCTGGCTTGTATGCCGCCCCCGACTGGATGAGCGATTCGTGAATCACACTCAGGTCGAGATCGGTCCTGGGATTGAAGCTGACCTGCAGCTTGCACTGCTCCGAGTTGTGTGTGTCGCTGGCCTCCACAAGCGGTACGAGCTCGGTCGCGCATTTGTTTCTAGGAGCTTCAGCTTCTCTCCGAGCGCCGTCAGATTCTGTTGGTTGAGGCCGCCGACGGACGCGCCTTCCTGATGTAGACCTTCGAGCAAACCTGCGAAGGCGGCGGTGCTTATCGTGCCGATCTTCGCCATCTCCGTGTCGATCTGCGAGCCTGTCGTCGACGTGCGTATCTCTTCTGCTTTTTTTTAACCATGCTCTCACACGAGCTCGGACCACCAAAACGCTTTGAGCCGGGGGAGACCAGGTACGTCTTGATGAGGATTGCGTCGGTCTGCCGCTGCCTCATCGCCACGTTCAGCAGTAGTTTCATCACAATGGGGAACATGCGCTGAATGTCCTTCATATCCATCTCGTCGAAGTCTAGCTGGTCCAGGTCGACAAGCTTGGACTTCGATCCACTCTGCTGGTCTCCACGCTCCCTGGGCTGGCGGCGGCGGTGCTTGCGAGCTGGGGCCACGTCTTGGGCTGCGCTTGCGGGCTCGCCAGCGTTGGGGAGTGAGGCAATCCACGACATACGGCCGCGGCGCAGGAAGGTGTGCTTCAGCAGTGTGAGCCTGTAGCCCACTCAGATCAGTAAAGGTGAGCTCGCAGTCGTCACTTGGGCAAAACAGCTGCGGGGGGTCGTGCACTTCGAAGTTGTAAACTGAGCGATGTTTTTGGCAGCGACCTGAACGATAAGCAGAAGCGAGATGATTGATAGCGGTCTGTCGGCTCGCGAATGTCGATCGGCAGTTTGGGCATTGGTTCGTGATCGTGAATCGAGTGTGTTCGCATGTTCGTCCATGTTCGCCTCCCTCCCCACTCATAATCTGATGTACTCGGAGTGCTTGTTTTGTTTCGGCAGTGAACAAGCATATCGCACCAACTTCACACAAAAGGCCACACGTGTGGGGGCTGCTCCAAGAGACTGTTGCATCTGGAGCACTGCGTGTTGGAGGTGCAGGCTGCTCTAGCCACCACTTGTGCACACGTGCGATCGTGAGCTTGACACAGACATCGCGACCAGGTGTCGGTCGAAAAACGTCGAGCATATCATCTCCAATAACATCTAGACATGCACGACCATCAGCCAATGCTCGCAAAAGCTTCATATCTTCAAAAAACTGCTCGCGCCACGGGTTATGTAGATGTGTGGGGCCTGCGCTGTCAGAGCGCACAGGGGGCCCAATCGTAAATCATCGTCTCCGCGGTCTCACATAGTAGCTTTCCAAAAACACAGGCCAACAGTTGAGCGTGGTGTGCAGGTTCACGTGCGACTCGTTGCCATCGTTTGGTACGCATGATCTGCATGTCCAGCGACGGTGGAACCATCTTCAGCTTCTTCCAGACTGCAATAGTAGGAATCGTTCGTCCGACCTCGATCGTTCCAAAGGGGTCCTCGATATCGGTGTGCTGCTTGGTGTATGCCGTGCCTCGAAGGAGTGCGCGAGCATATCTGGCAACACAGGCATCAATCTGAGCAAGTTGAGCTTGTATCAGTACTCTAGCTTCTAATCCTGAGGTGGCAGCGGACAGAACTTGACTACGAAAAACGATTTTGCGTCGTCCAAGATATCGGCAATTGTACCAGAATCGTCCCATAGTGCGCCATCCACGTGCTGCGGCGACACACCGTGCGTTCATCTCGACGTGGTTGTGGCCATTTGCTTGCATGGTCGATCCGAGGAACAGTGTGGAGGAGTGCACTTCACCATCAATAGGTACATTACCGCAGTGCAATGCCCGTGGCGACCTGTGGGCCCCAGTGCCAACAAAGGACGGCAGAACTGCTTTCTTTCCCGCGTTCTGCTGTAGGCCATTCGTGCTCAGCTTGTCGTTCAGGACCTGGTCGGAGCGCTGTACTTTGTAGGCCGCCAGCTTTGCATCGTGCCAGAGATGTGTCTTTGTAAGGTCATCGGCGTACTTGCGTACGCTGGGGTCAACATTTGTGCCGCTGAGCCCGCACCCTGCAATCATCGAGGAACTCGAATCGGGCGTTAGTGCGTCGTTCCAGGCCACAGTAGGCGGCATGAAGGACACTCTGAACTTGATCGCAGCGTCAGCGTCGCCCATGAAGCAACCAACGGTGTTCTGGTAGCCTTGCGTGTCGGTGCCGTCGCTGATGACGCAGGCCGCTCGGCGATGTCTGCCTTTCATAATCGTGCAATCTCCAGGCAGATATATCCTGTCGATCGCTTCGTCGGGGAATGTGTTTTACTGATGCAAATGCGGTCGTCATGTCATGCGTTGTTGTGATGTGGCTTCTCTGCAACTTTGTTAGTCTCGACTGAAGTGCGAGCCCGACTGTGATCGCCTCCGATCGTGAGCGTGCTCTCGCGTAGCCGTGTTCTGAGTCGTCAAGTGGGGTGGTGGCCAGCATCTGTCGAGAAGCCACCCATGTCTTTCCAAATGTGCATGATCCATGGAGCAGCCGTGCACCTCTGGTACGCGGCTTGTTATTCATCTTGCTAACTTGATAAGTCTGTGAGAGATTCCACCAGGCATTGAGTCTCTGGTGCTGTCGAACGGCCGCGAGTTGCGCGAGGATTGCATCGCCGAGGAAGGGGCCAAGGAACACCATCGTGTGGTCGATCTCTCGGCAGCCGTCTTTTTTGCAATCCTCGCTTCGGTCAACGAGTAGAAGTGTCCATATATCAGTAGGTAGCGACCATTCAGGTGCAGCTCGTCGTCGTTTGCAGTTCTCACGTAGCCGTTTCTTGATCAAATCAAAGTCGTACTTCGCGTGTCGCCACTGGTGTCCAGAGGGGCAGAAACGCTCATCATTGGCTGCTGCTGTATCGATGAAGTGGGAGATGTCGATAAGAATGGCTTCCATGCCGCCTTCGGCACCTGGTAGGGCCATATCTTCCGTCCATGTCTGCACGCAGGGTCGGGTATCGGGCAGGTCGAAGTAGCACCGCTTTCCTGAACCTTTGCCGTTACCTGCAAGTTTCCAACACGCTCTCCATACTTCTGCTCCGAGTCCAGCTTCTTCTGCTTGCCGTAGTTCATGAAAGTGCTGCTCGTCACGAAGGTCGCGTAATCGTCGTCGAAGTTTTTTGCATTCAGCGCTGCAGCGGCGGAGTATCAGGGTGCTCTCTAAGTCGTCTGTGAGGTTCTGCCGAGCAAGGGTGCGATCTCGCAGTGCTTGTCTGCGCTGATTGGCAAGCTGTTAGTACTCTAGATCGGCAGGTGACTTCTTGGCCTCAAAATATTCAAGAGCTCGTGCGCGTATCTTTGCTACTAGTATTTGCCATCCAGATTCCATGGTGTGTCTTTCAGCCCAATCAACCATGTCTCGATATCCGTTCTCGTTGAGGTAGTTGGAGAGATCCGTCTCTATGTCGTCTCTAAGCTGCTTCGCCCAGTCAAAGAAGCGCTCGTCCTTCCAGGCACGGAAGATGCGGGTGTAATCCCACTGCGGCGAGAGCTTCGGCTTATCGAACGTGGGTGTGCATTCTACATCAATGTATAACATCATGTGGTCTAGGAGACGTTGTGATGGGAATGCTCTGAGTCGCTTGGTGAGCCGATATGCAATGTTGTGTCGCCGTACTCTGGGAAGATATCTAATCGGCATTACGATATAATCGATATAGCTGGTATGTCCGCAAAGTCCATGGTATGTGGGTCCACATGGGTGGTGGGTACTCGTAGCACGTAGGGCGTAGTCGGTCATGAACGTGTGGAACGCTTCACCTGCATAGTGATGCTGGCCGTACACGTGCGCACCGATGGTAGCGTCGTCCTCATCTGTGGGGTTCCGCTCGAGGCCGTCGTTCAGGTCGGTTCCGATGAACACGCGCGTGCGATTCGGCAGGTCCGATAGGATATCATGCAGGTAGCTGGTCATCTTGTCAACAATAACTTCGTTCTTGGACGCGGTCGTGATTCGCTGCGAGCGAGGAGGAAAATATGCTGTGATGAAGGTGTAGTCGAATTGTGAGCTCTTGACGCGAGCGGCGCCTACACGGCCGCGTAGTGCTGCTGGAGGTTGCCGGACTCTCACTATATGGGACTTGCGAAACCATCTGCGATTCAGCCAGATCTCCGTGCCACAAGATGTATTACCAGTCGTATTTCTGTTACTGCGATGCCAGCCGGACTTCAACATGAGAAACTCGGTCGATGCGTGGGAGGCGGGGTGGGGGGGGGGGGCGCGTGCGACGCGGAATGAAACTGTCGGGGCGGAGGGGGCACTGGGCGGAGGTTCCACTGGGCCTGGGTAACGCTGGGGGGGGGGGGGGGGTAGGAAGGGGGGCGGGGAGGGGGGGGGGGGGCGCGGTGCGACGCGGAATAGAATGGTCGGAGCTCCAGGCACCCTGGGCAAAATAAACAAGAAAAGGAGAAACGAGAGAGAAAGAGAGAGAGAGAGAGATAAACAACAAACCAAAAGAGAGAGAGAGAGAGAGAGAGAGAGAGAGACAGAGAGAGAGAGACAGAGGGGGAAGAGGGCAAGCTATGTGCGCTCGCGTCATATCTGACGTCCTACCCCTCCCTCCCATCCCTTACCATGGCGCTGACTTTCTCTATCCGCGGACGCGTGTCGTAGCGGACCTGTGGCTCCGCGCGCGTGTGCGTAGTGGGTGGTGGTGCGCGTGCGTGCGTGCGTGTGTGCGTGGTTGTGGTTGTGGTTGTGGTTGTGTCTGTGGTTGTGGTGGTGGTGGTGGTGGTGGTGGGTGTGTGCGTGTGTGCGCGTGTGCTTTGGTGTGACGTGGTGTGGCGTCTTGGTGGTTTGGTGGTGGGCCAGGTACGTGCGTGCGTGATGGCGGTGGTGGTGGTGGCGGTGGTGGTGTGTGTGCGCGTGTGTGTGTGTGTGTGTGTGTGTGTGTGTGTGTGTGTGTGTGTGTGTGTGTGTGTGAATGTGTGTGTGTGTGTGTGCGTGTGTATGTGTGTGTGTGTGCGTGTGTGTGTGTGTGTGTGTGTGTGTGTGTGTGCGTGCGTGTGTGTCTGTGTGC